CAGTGTGAGATAAGATGATGTAGACGAGCTAGGCGCTAGTCTAGGTCAGCTATTTCTCCGTGACCAGAAAACAAGTATTCGAGCTTGTACCTTGAGCTAATTTTTTCTTCTCTTGTTGAGAGATGCTTCGAAGTTGGGGTAAACTTCGGGTTCGGGGTTTTTTCTGGGCTTTGCCTTCTCTGAGTAGGCGCTTAAGAGAGAGTTTGCGCTAGGTATTATGAGGTGTCAGCTTTAATATTCCTGGCTCCGAATATTCTGCAGATCCAAGTACATGGTCTCAGAAAGAAGTCAAAGAACTTGTATACTTATATTAAATATCCACGGGGTCAGGTAGGGCTACCTTTCCCGAGAGCCTGTTTACAATTTGTCAAATTCGAGTCATTGTAAATTAATATGGAATCTCGAAATCCAGGAATTCTGGAGCAGGCTTTAAACATAGCGCCAAACTCTTTACTTAATCTCAGTTCTAGAGCTCTTGCTGGCGAAATTGCGTATGCCCAGATCCTACCCACCGGTGGGAAGGCTACCGTAGTTTCAAATTTCGGGTAGCAGGAATGGGGAAGAAGTCGGGCTTCCGGAGGACTAGTTAGCGGGTGTCATTTAACTTCCGTCTTGCGAGGTCGGAATCTGTTGTGATTGACCAGCAGATCGGGAAACAGGGCCTATGGATGGTACCCGTTCGTCCGTAACGGACATCAATGCGATCCGTTTAGGGTGGCACAGTTCCCGAGTGATGCATCGTGCCCAGTATAGTATTGCCAGAAGCGTGGCATAGTAGTATAGGGTATGCGTAGGAAGCCTAAGCGTCTTCAATCTTAGCCATTCCAGACTGTACCTGCCGTGTAATCTCTCAAATATAAGCCGCACGGCTTATGATTGAGGTCGGTCCAGTGGTATCTTATAAAATTGCTAGGCAGGAAAGTATCATATCATGTCAGACTGGGAACTCTGGGAAGGGCTTCTGGAATGTGATCATCGGCTCTCTTGAGCCGGAGTCAATATCAGATATCTAGCGGCAGTTAGGCGCTCGTAAATGGAAGGTGGAATCGAGAGTGCAGAATCAGCGTGTGGGGCGTCGAAGGAAGCAGATGTCGAAGACTTCAGGGCTGTTCCTGTGGGGTCCACGTTTAAACCCACACCAAAACACGCCTGTATGGTGGAGCTCACCTAAACGGGGCCGATCGCGACCACAAAAACGCCCCAACTTCAACCCTTTTCAACACAACCACAACAAATAAATAGTTACTTTTCTCAGTGTAGATTTATAGATTAGATGATGGAGAACAACTGTACAGTCCCCATTGTTTATTTTCAGTTGTGGTGGTGGAGGTAAAAGGCTTTAAAACCCCTGTAATTTGTATGAGAGCCAGAAAAAACATAGACACCTTGGCAAGGTCCATTTGTAGCCTTTGATTGGCTACAAGACATTATTCAGTAGCAAAAGCCATGTTAACTTCCTTTTTAAGACGTCACATGATGATTCTGGCCTTCCCTAACCCTGAAATTTGCAGCTCTTCAGGTAAAATAAAAAAGTTTCAAACATGCCAGCTCACTCGACTCCGCTTTTACCCCTGTCACCCCCCCGGTCACTGCCGAGCGAAAACGTAGACACCGGCCCTGTTTAGGTGAGCTCCACTATACGAATACTCTAGCTGCAGATGCGCAGATTATTCACATATTTAGAAGATTGCCTATACCGTTTGCTGTCCGGGTCCATCAGCACCTCCTTGTTTCGTCGATACCCTATAGATACCGGTTCTTTATGCCTGCATAACCTTCCCCCTCGTGGTCTGCACCCCTCACTAGAACAATCAGATATCCATTTGGAATGCTTGCCGAAGTGGATTCCTCACGGACCGCAGGTGCCTCACGGTCTTCCTCAGGATGGGCGGAGCTATGTCCACTCTTTGGTCTGTTATCGATGGTTAGATGTTGGTCATTCATCTTACTGTTTCCTCGATCGGACCTTTGTCTAAGAGGCGACCACAACAGCTTGCGAAGCTGTGAATAAGAGCACGATGTTCTTGACCAATTCGTGAACTGGAACAATCAATAACTGTAAATCTTCATATTTCCATACTTTTTTTTAACCAATGGAATTCTCGAAAACACAAGGAGCTACAGAATCAATACCCCGGTAATGGCTGCCGCGAACACTACTCCCGGCGCCTCTCCTTATAATTGATCGCGGTCACCGGCCTCACTCGATCCAAAGCTTCTTGTTCTCTAGATTATTGCATCACACCCCCTGTCCTTATTAATAATTCTATCGTGCATCGGTTTTGCGTATGGAGTGGGGGTGCTAGAGGTGTCTGTCGGTGTTTGGTATTGCAATATTCTACAATCACCGACGAGGTCCAATTGCAATCCATCCTACATACGAGCAGCCGTCTCCATAACCGATCGGACTTGACTCGGCCACCTTCCTGCATGGAATGTACTCTACATACATGACTAGCAAGGTCGTAGAAGGTGTTTCTGGAGCCGCATACCTATGTCTCATCGTCGAGGAGACCAATAGCTATTTACCGGGACTAGGGTAGATCGGACAGAATTCCAGAAGCAACTTTGCTATCAAGTATCAATCAAGTGTAGAGTAGGAAGATCGGTGGCCAGTCGGCGATTATGTCGTGCAAGACATGAAAGCTTGGTTGACGCATTATGTGGGCCTATGGATACCATCCAATATATGCAGTGCGTTGTGGTAAGCTGGTGACATTGAAGCTATGGTAGATGAAGTGGGTAAACTAAATACAGGCCATGCAGGTCTAGATAGGCTGTGGCAGAGTAGAAGATGGAAATAATGCCCCACTGTTATATCAATCATTCATGCATACATTCAATTGCCGTGATGTTAAAAGTATATTCCACTGTAATATTTACGCGATATGGGCAACTCTCTGGTGATTGGTGATGCACCTACCACTGTGATAACCAATTGGGGATGTTCAGAATACGTGCGCGTGTTGTCGTACCCTGGCAGTATATTAGAATAGAAGCATTCTATTCACCAACCTACCCGGGCGGGGATTTGTGTAGGGCTGTAAAGGCTGTCAGTGAAGTTCTGTCTCGTTGAAAAGAACTGAAACTTACACAGTGGTAAGCACATTCATGGTGTTAGTGAAATATATATATCGTGACTGGCGGGTTTTCGCTTTCTTCTCTTCCAAGCTGGTATGTTTATATCGTCTGAAACATGTCGTGTCGACATGTCGCTGATGTTGGACGGCGTACCTGGAGGTCAACGGCGAAGTTTCTCAGCCGCTCTAAGCGCAACAAAGTTTGCGAGTGATATATCGATGTACGAATATGATCGTTTCTTACCCAGCGTTACAGAGAGCCGAATGACTAAGACTAAACTAAGCAAGTTGCTCATTCGCGAGTGCTCCGCGGTGACAAGTCAGTGGGCCACACCACCGCCACCACCACCACTACCTTCGGAATGTCCGCTATTGCTACAGGAACGGCTTCGCCGCACGTCAGTCAAGGAGGAAGTCTTGGCTCAATCCAGGGCCTATTTAAAAGGAGGAGCACCCGTTCGTTCTTTTCCCACCTTTATCAATCATCGCTCAACTTTTCGCAGCCCGCCCGCCAGAACCTTTAATCCTTTTCATGCACGAAGCTAGAAAGAGAGGTTTTTGAACCCAGATGGTGTTCCCTCCATACCTGTGTGTGGTAGCGCAGAAAATATCATGTCGACGTCGTCCATACTTGCGTATTACAAGTGCCGTCCGACTCAAAGTCCTTCTTGTACATAGTTTTACCCAAGCATGACTATCGGAAGTGTTTGGTGTAGGATGTTCTCTTCCGTAAGTGCAAATTCGTTTGGGTGCTCTATAGAATCCAGAGGAATTAGTGCTAGCACTCTCAATGACTCGAATGTAATAGCCACCAACCCAGTCCTAGAGATTCAGCGAAAGAGTGTTATCTACTAAGAAGGTAGAGTAACATCAGTGTCTCAATGGTAGGGAGCCGGAAATGCAGGAATGTACTTAATGTATAAAATTATGATACATACTCGAGTACCTCCCATAGCTACTTGAGTGGGCAGTGATAGCTATAAAACATCACTTGTAATGAGAATCTACCTCTCAGGAGCGGCGATACGTTTCATCTATAGCTGATATAGTTTGGCGACTAATACTCATGTTATGTACATATTATCACTCGCACGTGGTGGTGCCGACCACCAGACATGTCGATGTCGGATGCCGAAACTCGCCCATCCGGTTTGACTCTGGACAGTCAATTTTGACCGTCACTTCCATGCCGTCACTTCTGACTGTCCGAATATCTGCCACTTATTTTGAATGCCAAAAAGGGCGCCATACTGGAGTATGCCGTTCGAATGGTACTGTGGATTCGAGCTTGGCTGTAGAGGCTGAGCAATCAATATAACAATGGCTGAGAGGGGGTTTCTACCGTGGTTCTGCTCCTCAAGAGTGTGCTCTTGCATTTATACCAACCTATATTAAATCCAAATTGTATGGACCTACATCCTACATCTCCTGAACACCTTGAGCTGCATTCTGTGCTACTATGACTCACCGATGGCTACCACATCATTGAATTCATGTGTGAAGTTAAGGAAAAACCCGTGGGTAAGTGAAAAGAAGCTGAAGCCCAATTTCAGAGACTCCTTGCCCTATTTTCACAACCACTAGACTACAACTAGTTGTGGAGAAGCTATGTATAGATTCTTGTTAATCGATTTCTGGGCCTCCTCAACTAAAATAAGTGGTGGGTGTTCGGACAATCAGAAGTGACGGCATGGAGGTGGTGGTCGAAAGCGAATGTCCGAAGCCACATCGTCGCCCATCGCCAAATCGCGCAGAGTGATAGTCTGTGAAGGAAAGTTTTGCTAAACCAGTGCTCACTCCAATTTTAGTAGATATTTGTGCTCGTCAACCGTCCGTCAGTCTACTCTGAGCACCAGAGCACCAGATGCTCCGCCTGGATGGAGTTAATTATGTTCGAACATGTCAACCCACGTTCATCAAGGGCCGGTAGCTCAGTTGGTAAAGCATCCGTCTAGTATAGGAAGGTTGTAGGTGTTCGACTCCTAGCCATTCCACACTTTTCTTCGTCTCTACAAATTATCTCAAATTCAGTTCGACCGATACCGATCTGAGTACCTAGTAGATACATGTATGTTTTGTTTTTGTTTATTCATACTGTATTCACTCTAGGTAGAGTATGACAGAACCCATCCTCTAGGCAAGCCGGCTAGATGGCGGAGATCCTAGATACATGTATGTACTCGTACTAGTACTCGTCGGATTTTCAAGTCTCCGAACATCACATGACAGCTTATGTAGAAGCAGAAGCGCTTGAGGCTAGCGGTTGCGGGCGGAGACGGGCGCTTGTCCGCCCACTCTGCCTCCGCCGTTCATTCATGTGCTGGAGGTTCATACTCTACTCACATATAGTAGTGCTTAGGCTCTCTGGTAGATTAAAAGCCTACAAGGTGCAATATCGATATCTGGAAGTGCGCTTCGGGGTATTACTAATTCCGGTGGTTGGTGACGAATACTACATACATCGACAACATCTGAATCCCTGTAATACTTATAGAGCTACTGGTTGTGGGTCAACCGTGTCGAAAACCAGACCCTCTTGGGATATCTAAGGATAGTTGTAATTGAATTGTTCCACAGAAATTCACGTATGGTTGTGAAGGTATGCCCAGCGTTATTAATGATGAAGCGTTTATTTTGCCTCCTATCCTCCATGCCGTAATTAAGCGCAAGTCTTTGAGTCTAAATCTCGGTAAACTAGAATCAACTCACTTATAACTGTGAGCGTTAAGTAATTGCCCTGCACTGAGCAACATCTACTAGCGATCTAGGCACCTGCCATGCAATGTTTCTAGATCTTGAACACATCATATAACTCCTACTAGCAGTTTCAAAGGGTATTGGCTGGATACGTGGAGCGGTTGGTAACGGAAGTTGCGAAACTGCAGTATTTAGTAGTAGCAAGTGAGAGGATGGGAAGGAGAGTACTAACGGACACTGGATTTAACGCACCGACCTTCGAAGTTGCAACATTCCTTGAAGAGGTTGACTTATCATCTGAGGCGGTTGCATCTCCGCGGTAAGGTTTAACTGCAACTGTCCAAGCGTCACAGAATTTATATGGGTGAAAATGATCGTCTGAACAAGCTTTCATGATCAACCGCTGTGCGGCAGTTTCACGTGCTGGCTGGCTCGGCTTGACACTGACTACTTAAGTAGGTACAAAGTACTAGTCGAGGGCCGGGTTCCGCCTGCTGCGGGCATCCATAGGCCATTCTAGTAGATTCGGCGCTGTGTAAACCCCAAATTCCGATTCCATTGCGTAATTCAACGGCTGCCACCGGCAACACTTGTGTATTAATCCAAAATTGATTTGATTTCTAGAATACAAGTCAGGACAGGAGTGAAGCTAACGAGCACTCCTTCAACTGGCTGCCATGGTACCCCCAGCCGGGTGAATGATAGAGTATACATGTAGAGTACTCCGAATAACCGGCCCGCTTCCTTACATCAGATTTATTGCGGTTTTCATGCCGAAAACTTGCTTAGTGCTATATCCCGGATTGATATAGGTAGTCCAATCCCTGCCCGAGAAAACATATATGAACGCCGTCCGTACGCCATTGCAATGATCTCCAATCAGTACAAAACTGCCCCGACTTTTCCGCTGCGAACACATTTCAAGCCAATCCGTCCCAAATCTTTGTCGCCATGAAATTCAGTACTTCGTTCTTCTCACTTGCCTTCATGGCCAGCGCTGCCCTTGCGGCCACGTTCCGCAGCGAATTTGCGGAACAAGCCTATAAAAAGGCTCTAGAAAAAGGCATCGATCCTCATGGCGATCATCCAAAAGATTTCCTTTCGGACGATGGAAAAGTCCGTAAGTTTCATGGGGAAAGTAATTACGCCCTGTGGGTCGCGGCGCAGGATGCTCGCACAGATCTTGAAAAGAGACGCCTCCCGCAGGCGGGCCAGCAGTCGGGAATGGATGTTGTGTATGATTTCACCGGTTTTCATGCTGAAGTCAAAGGCTGATCTATGTGTAGAATGTGGACAGACCAAAATTGCAAAGGCCCGGGCATTAACAATCACTACTACGATATTGTGTACAATAGTAATTATTGGGAGTATGTATCCCCCTCTCCTCTCTCCATCAACATATCTCCCGAAGCTAACAAATGGAATAGTGGTAAAAATGGAAGCCCCATCCTAGTTGCCTCCGCGATCCAGATATTAAATACCGGGATCCAGGAAGATATAGATGAATTGCAGATCAAGAATTGGCTCGGGGGCAATTCGAAGAACTGTAATGACCTGGGGAAACCATTTACGAGTCAAGGGCCGGGTTGTTACAATACCCCCGACCTCTACACTTGTTTTCAACTGCACTTGCTCCCTATAGCCTCCTCCAATTAGTCATGAGATTGACAGAGGGTTTATTGTTGGGCTGTATATAGGTTTATATTTTCTGGACATGTTGTAAAATATATGTTTCGTACGATTGATGAACCTGCCAGTTCGCCAACTGATAAAGGCCGGTTCGCGCAATTTTGCCCTGTTCACAAACCTCTTGTCCAGTTCGCGAACCGCAGAAAAGTTCACGAACTGGCGAACCTAACACATGTTTTTGGCAAATTCTTCTCCAAATGTACTCCCATTCCCAGATCTTGTCACTCGTAAGTATTGAAAATGGTAGTAAACACTGTGAGAGAGTTTAAAAGCAGTACCATTCTCTTTGTCTACTAAATTGACCACCTCCAATTCACCAGGCGATACTAGGGGCGGACGAGCAGATTTTCAACAGCAAGGTCACTTTTAACTAGGATAAACAAAAGTCTGAGTACAACAGATCTTGTGATTCACTGACACCTCTGATGGTATGAGTGTGGACCAACTCCGATTCAGTCCGCCTTATACCTTGGTGAGTTCATCTATTGGTCATCCGGTTTGCGAACGGGCCTAAGTTCGCGAACCAGCATGGTTCGTCAGTTGGACGAAACATATATATCAGTATAGACCGAGCAATGTACGTGCTCACAGCCTATCTACTCCCCTCAGCTAAATATGTGCGATATTTCGTATGACTAGCCATTGCACGAACTATCTATGGTCGTAAGCATAGCTAGCTTCTATCAGAAAGAAGACAATTCGGTAAAAAAAAGTAAAGAAACTATGGTAGGACTATGAGGGCAAAACTCTGTACCGTCTAACGTACGCCCTCTAGTGGTGATCTTCATGATTTTTTTGTAGTACGCTATACAGATGAACTACTACTTTAGTGCATCTGATTGGGCGGGGACATCATATCAGAGTTCTCTCTACTACCCGCTATCCGATCGCCAGTCCGTGTTGTGCACAAGGAGTTATTACTGTCGAAGCCCGGCTAACTTACCTCCACCATCATCGTCATCTTCATCGAAAGCAGCCCCAAAAATACATTCCGCAGCTTTGTCTGACAGACTATTCGTAGCTGTCAATTTCAGTCTTCGATCTAGTACCATTGACCAATGCGGAAATGAGAGAGCGATTAGGTTGGTTAAATCAAATCGCCAACAACAACAACAACAAGTATACACGAACTGCTATTCTGTTCCGGTGGTGGCAAGTTGCAATTGTGTTGATCTCGACGGAGGAAATGGGGGGAATCAAAAGTACATATTTAGACCTATTCTCCGTGAATGTTTGGGCTGCAGACGCTGGGGTCACGTAGAATCCAAAAAGCCGTTGCTGTGTAGAATTGCAGCTACCTCCATTTGAAGGGCTACATTAGACAAAGGTTCAGCAAGAGGAAGATTGATTAGTTCGAGATGGAGGGCCACAACTAACTGCATTTCTGTTGTTGGCTGCTGGTAATGTGTAGGTTTTGAGGGTCCTAGGTTGGTTTCAGGTCGTTTGGGATAAACCCCCACTATTTTACTCCATGGATGAAAGCAGATATGTGCCTCGAAGGCCCGTGAAGTTGTCCCGACTGGGTTAGGGTTCGCAAATGAGTGACCTCCGATGAATCTCGGACAAGCTTCACAATTTCAAGTCGCCTCTCCATTCCTCTCATTTTGCTTTTCCGGTCACTTAATCTGAGCTCTACCCTTCTTCAAGATTCGGCGCAGCCAAGAGTAACGCGGCTCTCGGTCTCGGTGGACCTTCACGCCAAGCCCGCGCCAAAATCTTTGTGCCCAACCTCACCTTTGCCTTGCACCATCTCGAGCTGTTCCCCCACCAACCCACCATGGACAAACTCATCGCTCGGGCCAAAAAGGTAGCAGAACGAGCGAACCGTCGCCTCAAACTACAAAAGGAGCACGAGAACAAACGAAAGGCGAACGAAGCACGGAAGGAGCATGTAGCATTCCAAAAACTGGTTGCCGACGACCGCCGGGCATCCCGTGCCCAAGAGAAAGAAGACCACCGGCTCGGACCTCTCGCGCCCCGCCGCGCAGTGGGAAAGGAGGAATTGGAAACGTATGGCGCGTTCGATCAGTTGCGCGTCATACCCCCGACCGTCCCGGAGAACCATCGCATTAAATACTGGAATATTGTCGAGAAGGATCGGGTGGTGGTTTTGAAGGGCCCTGATAGGCATAAGATTGGAGTGGTTAAGATGTTGGATAAACAGAACAATACCGTGCTGGTGGAGGGTATGAATATGGTATGCTCTTGTCCTTTCTTTTGGGTCGCGAAAACGCTGATGGGGGTGTAGTTGCCTGTGAAAGTTCCCGATGCCTTCAAATCACTGGAACCGAACCAGCCAAACGTCATCTTCCGAGAGCAGCCGCTTCATTACAACGATGTTCGCCTTGTTGTCCCCCTCCCTGACCCGGAGACGAAACAGTTGAGAGACACCATTGTCGCCAACATCGCCATGTCCAAGGTATTCCACGACAAGCGCGAAGATGAAAAGCGGTGGACACGGTACATCAAGGGCACTTCAATCTCAATCCCATGGCCAAAGAAGCAGGAGAAGGAGTATTTTGATCAACTCGCCGATACAAGAATCATGGACGTTGAGGCTGTCACATACATTCCGAGCTTGCTGAGGCCGCCATTCCCGCCCACCGTG